GGGACCATTGCTCGGGGTGAGGGGGGGGTTGAGCTGGGCGGGATGAGGGGACAGGTGCTCAGAGTGGGGGGGTTGAGGTAGATGAAGATTTCTTTTCCCTCACTGCCTCTGATGTAGACTCCAGGGCTCTGGCACAGGTGTGCAGCTCTCTTGAGAGATCCCTGCCCCCTTGATTATAGCTCTTCTTGTGCACCTGCTGCTGTGTCACCACTTGCTATTTATGCGCCTTTAAACTGGGAAACAGGCTAGGACAGGTGCTCAGAGTGGGGGGGTTGAGGTAGATGAAGATTTCTTTTCCCTCACTGCCTCTGATGTAGACTCCAGGGCTCTGGCACAGGTGTGCAGCTCTCTTGAGAGATCCCTGCCCCCTTGATTATAGCTCTTCTTGTGCACCTGCTGCTGTGTCACCACTTGCTATTTATGCGCCTTTAAACTGGGAAACAGGCTAGCTTTTAGAACTCGACGGAATTTGCTTTGTCTTCTGCAAAATAAGGTATTCCTCAAGATATATAGTGGTGTATTGTGAAACCAACCCAGGGGGCTTTGACGAGAATTAGGGTTCCATTGTGCTGCATGTAGTGCAGACACTGAGGAAAGCATGGCTCCTGCCCGAAGAGCAACTTGTGCAGTTGATAATTTCCTGATGGAAAGGTACTTCCTCTATGTAGCAAACATGGCTTAGAAAATTTAAGAAAAGCAATTTGTTCTATTTTCTCTTCTGTGACTTTAGATATTTGTATGCATTCTCTACTAGTTCTACAGCATAATCATGAATTTGTCATCTCAGACTCTTGAAGTAGAGTCTAGAGACCCAGGTTAGGATTCCCCTGTATTTGGCAGTGTATACATTTATGAGAGTGAAGACTATCTCAGCATCATAAAGTATGTTCATATAGGATGAGGGGCAAGTAATGGAGGAAAAGAAGCAGTAGGGAAGTCAAGGTATCAGTGAAATTATCCCAACTGGTATAATTAGCAGTAGTCAGAGTACATCCACTCTTTACCCATTATGGAGTGATGCATAGGTATCACACCAAAGGGTGAGTTTTAAGAATAGATTTCATGGCTAACAGCGTAATGATTTTTTTCCCCTTGACTTATGTGGTTCTCTTCCCTTCCATGAGAAGCCGCATAGGAGAAATGGAAGGGTAATTGAGAGTTATTAAAAATGAATCAAATTAACATCTGTAAAGCATTAGATGTTAGCTCTTGGAAGATGTAAGAACCAAATTGTCAGCCCATTTCTAAGTTTTTTTCAAATAGAAAAATCTTCATTATTGCTCACCTGAGAGAAATGAGTGAAACCAAAAGAATTAACATCAGGTTGTGTGAATGTAACCACTGGAGTAATGTAACATTACTGGAGATGGAAAAATATTACTATGAGCTCTTGTAATCTTTAGGTTTTATAAAGAAGCCTGTGGATTTTCACTTCTATTTTTTTATTATTATTTTAAAATCTGTTGCTAGAATACTGAGCATTCTGAATAATCTACTCAAGTGTTGGGAGAAGAGTACAGATACTACTTACTCCAGGGTTTTACTTCCTTTCTGAGCCATTATCCAATGGAAATGGACTGGGTCAGCACTTGAAAAATTTATATATTTCCTTCAGAAATTTTAATTTTCATTTGAACCAGGGGGAACCAAGGCTTCCATGACTCGATCTGTTTCTGTTATTACTTTTTAATAGCATTAACTAAAACAAACCTATCTGAACGGGTAGAAAATGGGTCTAGGTACGTGGTGTCCAACACACTAGGCACTAGCCACATGTGGCTATTAGGCTGGTTGAATGTGGCTAGTCTGCTTCAGAACTGGTTGGACACCACAGGACTCCTATCAGCTTTACCTGTAGTTCATTTGAACTGATGTTATAGTTGATGGCAGGGACACCTTAAAATGTCCTTACTGCAGGCCAGGTTTCAGGGCTTAGGTATTAGTCAGTGGGATTGTTCTCATGAGCATAGTAATGCATGTTTGTGGGACTTGTTTTACCTCGCTAATATAGAACTAAGTGCTGTCAGCTGTTCGTGTGCCACATATAATTTTTTCCTCTTAAAAAGTTACTAAATCTGTATTGTCAGCCACAAGTATTGAGGAAATCAGGAGCTAGGGCCCCCAAAACTAAAGTTATTAATGTGACTTTGGTTTCAGGGTTGATATTCACAGTTGAACTTTTATGTTAACACAGTTCCATTTTCAAGTGCTTTTCTTCAGTCAGGAGGGTTAAACTTCCTTTCTTTATGTAAAAATATGTTTTGTTTAATCACATGAATCCAGCAGCTGGGGCTTTAAAAATAAGCGAGCCAAACATCATTCCTTTCCCTTGAATATTGGGAGTATTTCAATGAAATTGGAGACATTGATCTTGCAGTGTAGCCAATCTGATTGCTATACCTCATTTAATGTCTGCAAAAATGAAGAAAAGTAGTATTCCTGTTTCATAAACAACATGCTAAGTTAGGGAGAAATCTCTGCAATAAATTGCAGTCTTTTCTCTAAATTACCAAATACAGTCAGGTTTTTAAAAAAGTTTTTGTAAAATGTGTTTAAATCTTGTTGGAATTGATTTAATCTTTTCAAGCAAACATAGTGACATCTGGGATTTATTAATCCTAGTTTGAAAAACTGTAACCTATATGTAGTATTGATATACAATATTTCTGGTAGTGTTTTTTTTCCCTTCAAAGTGTAAACATATTACAGAGCATGATCAATCCTGAATAGCAACCCCTGAACGCTCAAAAGCAACTTTTAAAGTATTTAACAACTCCATAATATTGGTAGTGGTTTTTTTTCCCTTCAAAGTTATTTTAAAGTATTTAACAACTCCATAATACTCTCCAAATCCTATTAAAGGATTGTAACATTTCAGAAGCTTTCAAACATGGTTTCCAGGGAAGATTATTTAACAGTATTTAGTAAATGGAAAGTGAAAGTGAGATTCAGATATGGAGATTTAGACTGCTGTTCTGTAGACCAAGCCTGAATATGGAGAAGCATTTTTCCTTAGGCACTAGCAGCTGCTTGAAAATTTATCTATCTTATCTAGTTAAAGCAGACTGGTGGTCAGATAAGATTACAGTATTAGGGATAGTACAAAATTATGTTTCTATAGTTTTGTTGTCATCAATGAGATTTGAAAAATGCTTCAGAAAATTACAGTTTTAAAGTTTTGATTTCAAGGGAAGAATTCTGGTCTGCTTAATGATTTTGTTGCTAAGTTCAAAGTTCAGATATTGCATTGATTACCCTATATTTTAAAAGAAGGGCTTTTGCTTGTCAAGCATTGTCTGTCCAAATGACTCCTTTTCTATCTTAGGAAAAGGGAAATCCCTTTGTACGCTTTGATCCTACATTTTTCATAACTTTTCTTTGCTTAATGAGTTCACATTTTTCAACTCTACCCATAATTACACTATCACATCTTGAATATTTTATTGGTGAATAAAGAATAGAATGAAGGAGCTAATACTTTATTTTTTTTTTAAATATTGTTCTGTCTTTGTGCACTTTTAACCAATCTTGGTACATGAGTAACACCTTGCATTTCTGTAGCATCTTGCCTTCTGAAGACTGTCAAAGCACTTCAGAATTTAGCTCCAGAATCTGTTCCTGAAACTGCACATGTAGACTCTTGTGTTGAGACACACTGTTTCCATGAGTGATCCATGCGGGTAAATGGGCTGTAAGCATAGATTCAAGTTGCACGAATTGGGCCATACACTCATTCACAGAGTAGATGGAGGGTATTACATTAACCACTCAATTGCCGTCACTTCTCTGAATTGTGACAGCAGATATTTAATGGCACACAGGAACACTTCAACAGATTTAATTGGAAAACTGAGAGAAGGTGAATATTGTAATTTAGTTGGGACACTTTGATTAGCATAATTGAGTGAAAATCGTTTAACCTGGCACTTATTAAATACATTGTGAAACTGCTATGGTATTGGTAATATAGCATATTCTTGGTCATGACTGTAATGTGTGTTCTTGTCTTGCTGCCTAGACCATGATAAGATGTTTAAAATGAGTGAGAAGATCTTACTGCTGTGTGTGGGGGAAGCTGGAGACACTGTGCAGTTTGCAGAGTACATCCAGAAAAATGTTCAGCTCTACAAAATGAGAAATGGTAAGTATAAAACTAGAACTCAAAACAGTTCCTTACTGGGTTTGTTTTAAAGTGTAATCAGAACAAGATGTCATGTTTTGTAATTGTATGAATGTGAGCTAATATGCCGGCATGTTGTTAGGGGCTCAGTATCTTTGTTACTGAGAGTTTAAAGGACAGCTGGAAATGTTGTATGTTTATTTTATTGAAATATATTTGTGAATATTATGTTGTGCCTTAGTGACCATGCGAGTTTTTGTGGGTTTACAATCACAGTTTACTGCTAATCATTTTTAAAAGCTTGCTCTTGTTGCTGTTTGAAGAACTGGCACAAACAGGAAAAATAGATTCTCAACAGGGCAAACATTATATATAAGAGCTGTGAAAGTACTAACTCTTTTAGTTTTAGTAATTTTAAGGAGTTTCTTCTAGTCATTGAAAAATATTCAGATATAAGGAGTGGTGATTAATGAAGTTATTGTCCTTTTAAAAAAAACTATTAGATTATTTCAAGTTGATGTTTGGGAGAAGTGCTAACACTTCATTTTCTTAAAGTCTGTCTAGTTTGTGTGTTTCTGACTTACAGGGGCTAAGGCTTTTTCTACACTTGCAACTGATCAACAAAACTTGTCCTTCATGAGTGCTTAAATCACACACACAGCCATGAACGACAAAAGTTTGGTTGCAGCAGGTGCAAGTGTGAATGCTGCACTGTTGGTTGGAGTGCTCTCCTGCTAACGTAGCAAAAGCTACTTGGGGCTAGAAGTATTTTGATGTCAGAAGTGCTGACAAACAGCATTTGTACATGCTGACTTTTAGCTACAGGGCTGTATCGATGCAGTCTTGTAGCCAAAAGCTGCGTAGTGTAGACATAGCCAGAGGTAAATATGGTAAAGAGGGCAAGATAGGTAAGTTAGGGGCTTGAATACTTCACATTCGATCCACCCAAGTTTGTTTTTTCAATTAAAAGTTATTTCCCACTGAATATATATGAATGATGAATGTCTCAGTATATGTTTCAATAACTCATTTATTAAATCAGGTTTAAAAAAAATTCCCTTCCCTAAAAGCAACAGGCCCCAATAGAGCAACACCAGAATCAGCACACTTTGGCCTGTACAAAACAGGAGGATGGTCTAGCTATTAGAAAGAGAGGGATAGGATAATTGGTATCTGGGTGTCTGTTGCAAGTTCTGATGTTGTGTGATCGTTGAGCACATCATCTGACCTCTCTGCTTCAATTTCTCCTTCTGCAAAAAGAGAAGATGATACTTCATTTGCGAGAGTACTGCAACTAGTTTGCAGAGCACTTCTAGTGAAATATGCTATGTGCAATTCATTATAATGTCTTCCTCCAGCCTTTTCAAGCACTGATCACCTCCTGTGATATGTTCAAATCTGTGATTGGATTTGTACTGACTTGATAAGGAGCTATCAAAAGGAGCAGTTTTTCTTTACGATCTTTTTGCTTTCTGAATTTCTAGAGTGACTGCAAATAGTTCAGCTCTTAATTAAATAATCTTTGGTTCACATATACTCAGGATATAGATGAATTGTTACTGAATTGTAAAAGTATTTTTGTATTTTAGTGAAGTCCACTGTTTATAACTCTCTGAAGCAATAGATTGAGCACTTTTTGTCATTGCTTGGGAAAAAAAAAAGCTAAGATTGCTAGTAAAAACTTTTATCCTTTAGGGCAAGTTAAAAGTTCTGATGATACCAGGATATCATGTAATAACTTGTTCTGTTCTTCTTAGCATGGACTTTTGATCAAGTGCCTTTGAAGACTTCTATAAATAATCTGTCTTTTGATTCTTTATTCATTGTCACGGGTGGTGGAACCTTTAGCCTGCTTTTTTTACGGAGTCTCTTTTTCTATAAATTAAAATGGAATTGCATGTCTAAAGCATTGGTTTTAACAAAAAAAAAATCCACCTTCATTTCAGAATGTACCCAATCTCACAAGCTTGCTAGTCAGTCAAGAGCCTTTTCTTCTGTAGTCCAGGCCTTTGAAGACCTTGGTCAGCTGTGGCAGACCAAGGGTCAGCTGACTTGGGCTCTCCGGGGGTCCCAGAGCTTAGGCTTCAGCTCAAACCCAAACATCTACCCAGCAATTTTATAGCCCCTCAGTGAGAGTCAGCTGACCCAAGTCTTCTGGCAGTGTTTAATTGCTGTGTAGGCATACCCTGTGATTTGCAGAAATGCAGAAACTTTCCATCTGTCTTCAGATCCTGGGTGAAAAACATCTCTATTCCTCTTCAAGTGCCCCCCCACCCCCCGTTTAATTGTGTGCCATTTTTTAGAATATGGTTTGTATGAAGAAATATTCAGAATATGGGTATGTAATATTCTCTATTTTTCTGGTGCTTTATATTTTGAACCCCTTTATAGATCTGAGTTATTTGAAAACTAAGCCCCATTTGCTATAGGTCAGTATAATTATTGTCAATCAACATTGGAAAAATGTAGATGGGTAAAGGGAACATAATAAATAAGTTCTCAGAGCCAGAATAGGAATATGGGATTGCCCTCAATCATGTTGCCTTCCTGTTTTATTATGAAACAAATAGCGGGAGAAAAAGTAATAAGCATGGTTCATTTGCACTCCAATGTCCTCATATATGCCTTTGTTCATTATCTCAGGGTATGAGTTGTCTCCTACTGCAGCAGCAAACTTTACACGCAGAAATCTGGCCGACTACCTACGCAGTCGGGTAAGTAACAACTGAGGCATGATAGCAATGGTTGGAGTTACTAAGACCTTGCAGAATCAACCACTATGTTTGCCCTTTTCCCTCCTTACGTCCCTTTCTTCTGTGACAGCTTTTTTTTCTCAGCAATATTTTTGTTTCATTTTTTCCCCTTGGGCTCACAATTTAAACATGTGCTTTCACATGACTGAGTGCTCCAGGGCAGAAAACACAAAATAAAAATGAAAGTAACATGTGACTGGCCAAGTTTTTCTCAATTCTTCTGAAACAAGCGACTGATTTGAGTATGGCCTAAGTTAGTGAAGCCACAGGCTTCCCACAGTGAGTAATGTGGCACTGAGACTCTTAAGAACAATCAGGTTTTGTTGCTACAAAAGGGATGGGGGAAGATATTTCCCTTTTTATCTGAGTATATCATTCACTTTCACTTCATAATTCCATGCTCTCTTCTTATGCTTGGTGCAGATCATTTTAGCAATTTACCGTTTAGCATAACTTTAGATTTTTGCCTCATAGTTGTTTGGTGTAACTTGTGTACAATCAAATCTGATTGGTTTTCTTAAACTGAAATTTCTGAAATGCTTTGTCTGAAAAACATAAGCCTCACAAAGCATCTAAAAAAATAATACTATTATGAGATACGTGTGTTAGGAACCACAAGGTTGGATCTCATATCTTCATTATAGTTCTGTGCTATGTTATGTCCTAAATATTTTCAGTGATACAAATAAATAATTACTGTACAATAATAGTGCTTCATGTTGTCCATCTTGGTTTGCTTTTGTTAGTTGTTTCATGTTCTCATTTTAACAACCCCTTATTATTTTGGGGACCCTGGAGACATTTGGCAAATCAAGGTTCTCCTGTATTAGTAGTTAAATAATAGTTGCAATAATATCGTGTTCAGTTCTAAGAAGATGATATCGACAACTATTCCATTTTCTGTAAAATGTTATCTATCATAGGAGTTTTACCTACTTTTATAATAGGTTTGCTTGTCATTTCATGTTAAGGACACAAAAAACTTTAAATATCGAGAAATATCTTTCCCCAAATGATACTTGAGTTAGCCCAGCTTACTGTCCATTTTGATGATCTGTATCTATATGTTGGAAAATATATAGAAGGAATATCCACGAATGGAGGCTTTGAACCTATGAAAAATTTAAGACGATGTTTTGATCATGATCTGGTTAATTGTCTTCAAAGTGTGGGATAGAAATTACGATATGGCCCGGAATCCAGTGCCTTAAGCTGTCTACACTGGCACTTTACAGCACTGTAACTTTCTGGCTCAGGAGTATGAAAAAGTACTCCTGCCTCAGTGTAGCAAGTTACAGTGCTGTAAAGTACGAGGTTGAACCAGCACTTTTAGACCCTATCTTCATGGAGGTGGTTTACATAGTGCTGGGAGAAAGATCCTAACACTGGAAGAAAATGCCCAATTGCCACACTTTCAGTTTAAAGTGCAGCTGCTCTTTAAACATTTACATGTAGACAAAGCCTTAGTGAGCACCAAATGTCTGCTAACTACCCAATATGAATTGCAGGAGAATAACTTTCACTTGCAGATGGATGAACTCTAATCAAGAGGTCTCTTCCTTCTTTAACTATAGGTTTTTCCTCACCAAAATGGTCTGTTGTATGGAAATTGTAGCCTATGGTTTGCTTTTTTTCTTTGTAAAGTGCCTATCACCTCACTTATCATAAACTAATACAACTACAGGGTTAAGATTTTTTTGGTACCAGTAATATTTTGTCATCAATATCAGACAGCTAAGTGAATTAAGCCCCTTTAAAATTGAGATAAGGCCATCACTTCTCATGCAAATGCATTGAATCCGTTTAATCTTCTCCCAAAATGATTTAATAGAGCAAAGCTGTTTGATGTTCTTAGCAAAACAAGCCCTTTTTTGTAAACAGACATGAAGCTTTCTGTAAATACCAAAACCAAGTTGAAGCTGCTTGCTTTTTTTTTTTTTTTTTTTAATTAGCAGAGTGCAATGACTTGACTTCCTTAAGGTAATATTTCAAAGCATTGCTAATAAATACTGTTTTGTCATTCATCATTCAGATGCCTTATATAAGTGCCCTTTGATGCTTGGCAATTTTAGTGAGGAAGTCAGGACGTCTGGGTTCCACTCTTGCTTTTGGCTTGCCGTGTGACATGTTGAAGGTCAAATATCAACTTCTGTGCATCACTTTTCCCCAGTTGTGAAATGGGTATTGCTTATAAATATGTAATCCTTGGCTACCTCATAGGGAGAGGAGGCTTAATTAACTGCTTGTCAAGTGCTATAAATATTTTGCTGGAAGTTGTTAGGGAAGGGCAAAGTGGTATCTAAATATATGAGATTAGGGATTTCAGCAGTCCTCTGTCTGATATATGTATGCTTTCCACACAAGAGAAAAGTGGGAAAACAAGAGCATTGATGCTATAAATTAAGCTGAGCAATTATGTTAGTATGGGGATAAGCAGGGGAATTTTTTTTTTTTATTGCTAGGGCATTTTATAGAAATTTCCCAGGGAACCTTTCTCAGACTTACAAATATTGAGCACTATTTGTATTAAGGTTTTGGGCTCCAGCCCGTATGTGCTCAATATTTGTATTAAGGTTTTGGGCTCCAGCCCGTATGAGAGTCCTATTGTTAGGCCCCATCCATACACAAAGCCTGTCCAAATTCGACTGTAGATATGTTAGTCCTATAAAAATGGTACTTATTGTGACTTTCATTCAAATGTTCACATTTGCCTGGAGCTGTTCTGCATTTCCATGAGTGACATTAGCTGCAGTATTGTAATTCTTCTCCCTCTGTTGTGCATGTACAGCCTTGTCTGTCAATTGCGTAAGAGGCTGATTACTTGTCTCAAGGTCACAGGACCTTCAGAGCAGATGGCATAGGTGAAATTGACTTTGAATGTCCTGCCCACTTAAGCACAGACAGCCATTTGTTACATATGATAAAAATATCGCTAACGAGGGTAATTTAACATGCTTTTTGGCAAATGCGGTTAGCAGGATGTGACATGATGCGGCACTGTCTTCTTCCTCTATGTGCCATGTCCCTTGAGGCCTGATCCTCCCTGCATCCCCCCTCCTCCCTGTGCCCAGGCTTGCCTTCCAGCTCACCTGCTCCAGATGGGCAGCACAGTGGGGAGGACACTGGCAAAGGCAGATGTGTTTATTTACCGGAGACAAAATGTTGTGTTGCTGCAGATGGCAATGCCCCCGAGCAAATGGCGCACTTTGACACCACTGTCACACTACAGAGATCTCTATACTGTAGGGAGAACACTGTCGTCTTTTAAAACTTAGCACTTAGTGCTTGTATGAAGGTGCAGCACTTTCAACATGCAGTTACAAACATTGGCATCAGTTAGTTATGTTCTTTGCTCAATCAGTTGTCACATATTTGTTGTATTTCTGTACCCATTGTGACCTAATTAGAATCAATAAAAATATAACTAGTAGTTCTTTATACAAAGAAGTCATTCACATGGGATTCTGGGAGTCTGTTAAACTAATGCTGTTGGTGATCTCTATAAAACATAATAAATATATATATTACTATATTTTATGGGAAAGAGGGAGGGACTAGGTATTTACTAATGGTTTAAAAGTATGTTTTCATCTTGATGCACAGCAAGGTGCAGGAAGTTCCCTGCAAATTAAGTTGAACATATACCGTTGGCTTATAACAGCTAATACTTGGAAAGGCTAATATGAAAAGGTTTTTAAGGTAGCCAAGAATGGAATGTCTAAAGCAGTTTGTCTTGTCGAAACCCCATTTATTTCTTAATATCTTAGAAAGTCACTTGTGACTGAACCTGAATTGCATATGGTTTCTGCTTTGTACTGACCTAAGTGAATACTTTAAACCTGTGATACTTGAAGCGTAGATTGTTTAGATCTGGCAATGGGAAATGTTACCTTAGTGGGTTGAACACCTGAAGCTGGAGCTTTATAAAAGATGATGACCCTTCCAAACTCTGATTATTCTAATTTTGGGGTCAGGAGAGCAGGCAAATTAGAAGATATCTCCTAATTTTTTTATGGTATAATCTTACCCCAACTTTTTGGGTATAGTTTATCCATGATCCCTTCTACCTTTTCCTCCACGTATAGCCTCAAAATTCCTACCGTTCATGTTCGCCTAGCCTTTAGGAAGAGCCAGGCTATAGTCACAGTCCCGTCTCAGTAAAGAAGAGGGAAGTTGAACTCTGAGCTGGTTTAAATTAACCAGATTTTTTTAACTTGCTGTTTTGCCCATCACAGTGCTGATACAGTTATGAGTTTTCAGGTGTAAATCCCCTCTCTCTGGGGGATTGTATGTGAGAAGGTGTTGCTTTCTCACTCCTCGAGAGTGTGTGCTATCCAGTTAGGTGCCTGCTGAGATCAGAAATCCCTTTTTCTGTGCTAAATATCCCCACTGGAAGTATAGTGATATTATATCAAAGATTTTTGGCTTTGTTTTAAAAAAAACCTGTATGTCTACTCCATCCCTAATTTTTCTGAATCTCTACTCATTAAGGATTTTCATGTCAACCTCACACAACTGTCTTAAATCTGTAACTTTACCTCTAAAACCAATAGGTAATTTTTCTTGTCAGTTTATCTGTAGAATAAACCCCATTTGTTTGAGCTATTGAGAATCTGGTAATGGAAGCAGTTTGACTTAAAACTGAGTGGAAAGTGGTGACTTAAATCCAGAATACTTCTCAAGACTATCCTCTTCTTTCCAAATAGATTAAGAAATGGCTCTGTGCCAAAAAGGTCCTGGGCCCCATTCACATGTATCTGGGAGACCTCACTTACTGGGGTTTGTTCTGGTTAACCAGTGTTACAAAATACAAGTCTGAACAGGAAGAAAGTTGAGTATGAGCAGGACTTCTGGGCATTTGGTCATTAATGTGTAGTAGCCTTTAAACCATTTAGTGACTAGAAAATATATATGGCAAACTCTTCTGGGAGTTTAAGTACTGTACTTGTGCTGTTTACTTG